GTCACTTCTGCAGGCTGCGTCATACTCTGTGAGATAAAGTGTCACTCTTTTCATAGCTTTTGCCGGCTCTGAGCCACTTGCATGTTATTTCTCCTGCTCTTTTTCTAGCAAAAATTCACTCAACACTAAATGAAAACTTAAATTGAAGACCTGATTATTTCAGGAGCCTTATTACAAGTCCATAGTTTTTGAATGTTGGTGCTACTTCTGCTATATTTTCACACTTAAAACAATAATTTGGCATTCCTCTTGTACCATTGTCCTCTTTTATGCTAAGAAATATGTCACTTGGCAGTGCTCTCCCAAGTGGTTCCACTGCTGCCAGCATTAAGTCTGAGTATGATTCAGTGGGCTATATAACACTTTTAATTGTCAGGAAATGACTTGTCTTTAAAAGTTTTGGTTCAATATACTTACCTGTTGATTAAAAATAGCCTTAAACCTATACACTTTTTTTAAAAAAATTTTAATTTAGTAACTTTCAGGAGGGTGTACTCATTTTTGCAACACAACATTTTATCACTTTGTTAAGAAAATCTCATTTTGCTGAATAATTTTGGCATTCTTCTTTGGTAATTGATCAAGCAGGCTTGTTGGATCATTACATCTCCAAAGAACCCTAACATGTCTTCTAAGTAAAGAGTAATTGCTGAAAATCGTTAAGTTTTAGAGGGGGGTGTACTCATTTATGCAGTTAAATAAATATTTCATAATATTAATATTAAAGAGTCTGTTTTTGTGAGTGTGTGTGTGTGTGTGTATACACACCTAGATAATCCAGTCAACCTCACTAGTCAACTATTGTGATTCATTCCTAATATTTAGACAATTTGATGCATGCATTTCGGGCCTTTTAGATTTCAGGGACAATACATGCTTTCTCATTAGACTGTAGGTGTTGGGTGACCGCAGACCCAGGTTGATGTGCATGAATGGCTTCTTTCACGTTGGTAAGAGCTCTTGTTACCCACCTGTGTGGAATTATACCCTTGATCTGTCATTGGAGAATAAATTCCTCCTCACGGGTGACTGAAGCAGTATGAGGAGCGCCGTTTGACAGCCCGCGTGTATACTATCAAAGCTTTCCATCAACTTCCCATTCCACATGCAGGGTGGGGACAACAGTCAGGCTCAATTTGCCAGAGGAGCACATAGAGTGCTCTGTCCGCTCTCTCTGTGTGCCGTGCATGAAGGTGAAAGATTGGGTGTGGGTTTGGATGAATGAGGGAGAGATAAAGGAAGCTAGGAGGGTTCAAAGGAAAGAGGAAGGGTGCTGTCTCGAGTGAATGGTTTCTGTGAGGGCAAACATATTTGACTGCGAGCTGGTGATTAGTCAGCACTTTGATTTCACTTTTCAATGTGTGCACACTCTCTCCTGTGCACAGAAACACACACAATGCTATGTTGTGAAGGCTGAGGGTGTTGAATACTAAGCAAAGTTTAGGTGAGATGTGAGAGATGGAGCGGAAGCAAACTTTGCTAGCTCTATTTAAAACCCAGCAGGGAGGAACAATCACACTGGGCTCCAAGGGCAGGCCAAAGAAGAGTCCTTAATCCGTAATTTCCCTTTGATTTTTGCCACATCCAGAGCACATTCACCTTTGAACATAATACAGCAGTGCAGCTCTGACATTTCATTCATTCATTTCATTCATACTCTCATATGAAATGCCATAGTGGTGTGACATGGCTGCATATGAGCTGCGGCCAAGAGGTTTTTATTAATTTCCTTCTGCACCAGTCAGCTTCCTCTCCTTGAGCTTTGACTCAAATGAATAATCATGTTATGGAGGATAAGGTGGATAGCTGCTTCTAGAGACTGTATCTATTATATTATGGAGTGTTGAATGTCATGTCAAGTCAAGTCATATTTATTTGTATAGCGCTCTTCACAAAACGCATTGTTTCGAAGTATCTTTACAAAGTCATACTGGTATGTTTACAATGCCCTATTGTTTTAATACAGAGCAAATTGTAGGGCTGGGCGATATAATGATTATATAACAATGATATAAATCCTCTGGATTTAAATCTAGCTAAGACATTTAGCAGATTTCGCTATCTGTATGACATATTTCAAGTGTATTTCAAAAACAACCCAACATATTTAGCATACAATAGCTTATTTTTGTCTCTCTTTTTTTTGAATAAGTAACCACCAGTCTTTATAATTTCTCCTTTTGTGTTCCTCTGAAGAAAGAGAGCTTCCAGCTTCCTTTAGCTGTTTTCAGAGCAAAGAGCTGTCGCAGAAACATGTCACAATGACTCTCATGTTATCTGTCAACTAGTAGCAACAGTTTGACTAATCATTATTCTAAATGTAAATCTATTGTTTACTGTTTTATATTGACACCCTATATTATAGCACCAGACACATTGCTTGTTGTTTAGCAAGTTGTTTTGGACCAAATTCTAAAGAAACTTTCTTTAGGTCAAATGCAAATAAGGCATGTAAGATTGCATCAGTGATGTGAGAGACAAATTCTGCCTTGCCCTTGTTGTGAATCAAATCCATGCAAACAAAACGGACAAAAAACAAATAGCAGGCTTTTCAAAATGTAATGACTCATTCTCAGAAATCATTCTGCTTTTGTTCAAAGTTGCTGCTCTTTAGCCGCTATTTTTCTTTACAGATGAAAAGAGACAAAGAGGATGCTTCTGAAGTCTCTTGCCTTTGGATAAGTGTTTATTAATGTCTTGATCAACATTGTTGGTGGCTCTGGCATGAAAGCAGTGTGATAATTAAGTTTGATCCCTCGGAACTCTCTTTTGTGCTCATGTTCATGGGCCTTAGCCTCTCGCCTCTGCTTTACA